AATTAATTAATTTTAAATATTATATAAAACAAAATTAGATGATTTTGACAAAATTATGAGAAATATAACCACATCCTTTTCAACTTAGCTACTATTAAGAGTGGGGAAGTATTTTATAATGTGAATTATATGATTCATTACATTATATATTTGGATTAAGAAGAGTGAAAAAAAAAGTGATGAAAATTTTTTTTAACTAATTAAATTTTAATATTTTTAAAAAATTATAATTTCATTGATTAAAAAAAAATTCTTCTCATTTATTTTTTTAACCTAAACCTACTAATAAAGAATTATAAATGATATTTTTAAATTGAAAAAAAAATTAAAACTATTCCCTTTATCTTGCAATACCTATTACATTCTTAATTGCAGATCTTGATCACATATATACGAAATGAAAGTCCATTACCTATTTTCGAAAAATATACAAAATGAAAGAAGTTATATATGGTGGGGTGAAAGAGATTAAAAATCTATAAGTTCTAAAGTGAAGCTTTTACTATTACTTCTATAATTGTTGCTTTTTATTATTTTTAACTAGTCTAAACTAAAGTTTATTGTTATGATATGATTACAATTTTTAATTTAAAATTCATTCATAATATTAAATATTTATGTACATTTATTAATTTAATAATAAATTACGATAATAACTTTATAATTTTACATTATATAACAATTATATTATTTTTATTTTTAAAAATAAATTCCTTTTCAACAACCCAAATGTAAGATTCATTCGAATATCCTACATATTGTACGATATTCAAAAAAAAGAAAAAAAAAACGTGCCAACATTTTCTTTTTATAAAGTTTTTAATAATATGTCGGTAAACGTTTTTTTTTTATTATTGTTTGGATGGAAGAGAGGGTGAGCGTGAAATGAAAGATGAAAATAAGTAGTGAGTGGACTGTAGAGGGAGGTGGAGACATTTCTGAGCATGCCGACCTGGTTGGGTGGTCCAAGTACACGTCAGATCACGACCCTCATAAACTTGGCCACGTGGTCTGGTCGTTTTCGTACCCACGTGTCATACGTCGACTTGTCTTGACTTCTCCGATGCTGGACATTCTGCTTCCAACTTCTTAAACAAAAAGGTAACTTTGCAGTCCAATTAAGTGGGGTGGGGTAACTTGTTCTTTTTTTTAAAAATATTTATATTTATAAAAAAAATTATTTTATAATTTAAATTATATTATAAAATAAAAATTTTAAAATAAAAAACAAACATTTAGTTTTAAAAAATTTTGTAAAAAAATTTTATAATTTAATATAATTTTTTTAACAAGATTACAAATTAAAACAGAGATTCAAATTCAATTCTTAAATTAAAAAATATACTTT